GCCTATCTGTAGAATGACATGGAGGAAATGTGGAAATATACAAAAGCTGACCTAATGGTAAATGATTCATCCTTTTTTTATTTTCTTATTTAAGAAAGTTAATGTAAATGCCCATACTTTGCTGGTTCATCTAATTACTCATGTATTTAACCTTTGCTTTTAGAATACAATTAAAAAATTTGTGTTGAATTTCTGACTATATGCTAATTGATAGTTTATAATGCATAGCTAAACAGACTATACTTAGCTGGCAGGAAAGGGTCTAAGCAGTTTGATTTAGCTGAGTAAATAATTTCAGCCTTGCTTTCATCTGAAAATAGAAATTTACTTTGCTGTTGTGTGCATTTTTTTGCAGCCAGCATTCCATTTCTATCTAAATGGGGAAAAGGTAGGTGGCATTCGTGAATCTAAGAAGTTGCAAGATATTTTTGCAGATCTCTACAGGTAATTCGTTTCTTCTTTACGTTACATTTTGTGCTTTTGCATATATTGGTGCATATTGGTATTCTTTGACAGTTCAAGTTAACTTTTCTCCGAATGTGATCACTATGTATGTTACTCAATCTTTTATTTCTGTCTTGTGATATATGGATGAATTCTATATCACAGTTACTAGACCCTATTATTGATGTGTACTTACTACTGAAGGAATGTCGTCCCGGTCGAAGCCACTCAACCTATGGGTTCATCTGGGATGGGGGAAAGGAGAGCTGAAAAACTTGTCATACAAGCTAAGAAAGATGAGAATGACAAAGGAAGTGTGAGGGCATTATCACAATGGAGACGTGCTGCAACACTGTCACAACTGAGAGGTGCTGAATCCTTGGCACAAGGGAGTGGTGGCCTTGTTGAGGCAGTTGAGAGCAGTACTGCACCTTCACTTGATGAAGTGATGCAGGCTGTCGAATCTTTACCTGGGGGATGTGCCAAAAGTATTTTGTGGTGGTTTGCAAGAGGGCTATTTAAATATCAACCTAAGAAGAGAGTGATGTTTTCAAAAGTGCAAGGTCCTTACTTCAAGGTTGCTTGGCTTATGCATGAAATGGCCGAGGAATAAGTTGGATCGGTGCACGTCAATTATGAATTATATTATGCTGTTGTTGACATTATGGTTTGGACTTGTGCGGTGGTTTAAAATTTGGATCGAATACCTTATGTTGTACAATTACTTGGATAATTG